CAGAGCACTTCGCTCTCAATCTGCACATTTACTAGTGGTTCCTAGAATTTCTAAAAGTAATGGGAGGCTGATCTTCCTGGAGAGAAATATCAGCTGTGCTGCAGACATCAAAACCTTTTTTATAGATGTTGGGGATCTGCCTGTTTCTCAGTTTAGTCCTGTTTCTCTGACTGTGAATGGCTGGATGTGCTCTCTTCATCCTCTGACATGGGAGCTGGCTTGGAGCTTGTCTTCCTGGCTGTGTGTTTCCTGGACGGTGCCACCCTTTTACAGTTGCCTTTTGCATCTCTGCTTCTTCCTGTATCTCTGTTTCTGTCTTCTTGAACCCCAGTTGGCCTCGGCAGATGGCCGCTCACACTGAGCCAGGTTCTGCTGGAGGTTTCTTCCTGTTAAAAGGAAGTTTTTCCTCTCCACTATTGCTACAAGCATGCTTAGTGTGAGTGATTGCCTTTGAGTTGATGAATCGACACAATCAACTGGTTTTCCTTAGATAGAAAACTTTTAATCAATTTAACTGTATGATTTGGTGAACTGTAAAGTGCCTTGAGATGACATGTGTTGTGAATTGGCTGTATATAAATAAACTGGATTGAATGGATTTAATTTGCTAATCTTTCACCGTCTTTTCCTCTTCTAAATCTTCTTTTAAAGACTGTCATTACGTATCTGCACAAGCTGCTGTCCATTAGCTATGGATAGCTTCTTAAGGAGATCTGATTTGCATACAATTCTAGCTCAACCTCTATGTGAAAGTGGTTCTTGTGCGATCTTGGCGATAAAAGTAATCAATATGCAGATATGAATTTCCAAAATATTTAGACAATCAAATTCATACGCTGACAATCTAAAAGCAGTCATAAACACAAAGCATCGCTCCACATTGTAAATCTCCCTAAGATTTAATTACAGAATATATCTCTAATACTTAAGCACTGACTGACACAAATGTCACAAAATGCAGTTACTTTAGTCATACATGGTATTCCAGGCCATTGTGGGTGACTTGGTGTTTTTTTTTTTTATTATCAGAAAAAAACATGTTTTTCATTTTAACTATGTCATTATATTTTTTTTTATTTGAACCTAAAATTTAAGAAATGTAAGTCATCACACTTAAAAGATAAGATCCTATACTGCTGTGAGGTGAGGCAGCCTAAACACACTGTGGGTCACATTACTTCCAATGATGTCACAGGAAATGCTTGAGAGCTGAGGGAAGGGAGTCTCATTTAGTTTACAAAATACCAAAGAAAGAGAATGCTGCAACTAGAGACAATGTGCAATGAGATGAGGATAAATTATTGTAAGTTTAACAGTTCACCTATCTTTTTTGTTGATAAATGAAATAGACCCTGCTTGTTCAATACATGTGTGAGCTTCATAGAAGACATACCCTCAAAATTTTTCTCATTAAGAAATGTATTACTTGACAAGATTAGCTGAAGTTATAAATGTTTGATGAATCAAATAGAAAAATGTGCAAGGCCTCATTTGCACATCAACATCTTAACCTTCTTGATTTCTCTTCACACTCTATTTTTTATTTTTTTTGCCATATACCAGAAAAAGCAAATATTCAATGCTTACTAAATGAAAAAAAAATCAGGCGAATTAAAAAATAAAGACATAAAATAAGCATATTTGATGCAACCTGTTCTTATGCTGTATGATGTCACTTCATTTAAAAATTACTAATCAATTTCTGAACCTATTTTATGAAAGGACGCCATGTTCTTTCTGTTAGCTGCTGTTGTTAAACCAAAAACTCAGAGTTTCCATCCTTAGGCTAGATAATTCAGAGTTAAGGATTTGAGTTTGAGTTTGTTGAACCTGCTTTTTGAAACAGGGCTCTGGAGTTTAACCCCCTCAAGACTGTTGAAACAGCTGCAGAATTCCAAAGGAAATCCAACATACTCTTACTCACCATAGTCAACAACATTGTGTCAACAATGGTCCATAGCAGGGGTAACCAATGAAAATTTTGTGGGGTCCGAATAAAGAAAATCGTCAACCAGTAAAGGTCCGGAGACATTTTTAATCATAATCTGTTACTTTAAAGGGAATTTAACACTGAAATAAAATGAGGTGTTTATGCATCCATGTTATACATTGAATTTTAAATTAAAAAATATTTAAACATTTTTTTTCCTTTTTAAAATCTAAGTCTTTTTCTAAGTATAGAGCAGCAATCTTTTAGTTGGTATATAGACAATTTCCTGATTCACTTTTTTAAGAAAAACCTGAACTGTTTTTTTTTTGTTTTTTTTTGTTCTTTCTTTTTTTCTGGCTTAATGAGAGCAGTGGGCTTTAGGCTGACCTGCAAGCCTTTGAACCTGGGTTTGAATGGAGACAAAGCCATTCTAAAGCACATATCAAGGTGCTCATTTTGAGCCTGGATCCATATTTATTTTTGATTATGTTCATGGTGGAGAACCTGCCTCACAACAGCAGGTTGAGCCAAACATACTCACCAGTATTCTTTCTTTCACCAGTTCACCACAGTTCTTCCAGCAGTCGACACTTTCTCTGCTCTCTTTCTCATTGTCTTCTCCTTCTTTACCATTGCCCGGACTGCCACAGGTTTGCCTGCTGTGTCTGAAAGTAGCTAGCAGCAGCAGCCCAGACTGTCAAAGCTCATTGGCTAATTTGTATCACGTAAAGCCTGGTCCTGGATGCTCCGGAGGGCTTTACCATTTTAACAGGAGAAGCAACGCAAGTGAATTTAGATAATGTTGTCGGACAACATGCAGTAAATCATAAATGTTTTAAATCAGGTTGGGTCTGGATTAGCCAGCAGGTGGGTCCGGATCCGTACTGTGGTCCGCTAATCCATGACCTCTGGTCTATAGGAACCACTTTTCCTGGGACCTGAGATAATACACATACTTTAATACCAATCTGAAGAGGGTCCGGCAGAGACGTTACCACTTCAGCAACTCAAAGACTAAATATGGGAGCTGCTGGTCATGTAACTGTGTGGTCTGAGTCAGACGCAAAACAAAACAGTCCAGACAAAATCAAACAACTAGGGCTTAAGCGTTAGATCAAGAAAAGGCCAGCAGTTTTCCCTACAGAGACTTCACATCCTGGACACACACTTTTCTGACCAGTGGTCTTCAACTCAAATTCTTGAAGGCCGATGTGTTGCAACATTTAAATTTGTCCCCTACCCTATGCACTTGAATCAGATGGCTAAACCTCCTCAATAATATGCTGACAAGCTCTGCAGAGCTTTACTAATGAGCTCATATTGGAGTTGGGTGTGTTGAAGCAGACACAAGTATGAGCTGTGGAACGGCATCCTTAAGGACTAAAGTTTAGACCACTGGTTTGTACATTTAACTTTAAGTTAAATGATCTGCAAATATATTTTTTTGACATAACAGATACAGTACACACAGAACAATTTCTGAAAGTTGGCTATAAAACCTGTTCAATTTTTTGGTCAAAGGAAATAGCATCTGTCCATTGGGTCAGGGTGTGAGGGGGTATTATCTGGACATGGCAGTCTACCTGGATGAGCTCATAGTTTGGCATTTTGCAGCTGAGTAGAACCAGAAGCAATATGCTGCCCAAAAATCCACTGAGCAGTGGGCTGAGGTCATAGTGAGATAGAGCTTGTGGAAACACTGATGCACAGGCTAACATGGCCAGTCCTTTAAACTTTTCCCAGAGGAGCCCCTAAAAACAGGACAGTAAAATCTCACTGGGCGGTCTGACAAGAGCAAAGCCGTCAGCAGCTTGTCTTCAGTTTGTGTTTAGAGATGACATAGAGATGAAATGTGGATTTTCGGAAATATATCCATATAAAAATATATCCTAACCTTAAAAATGGGCATCGTTGATCTTCCTCCTCATAATTTATGAAAGGCAAATGGTCCAAAACAGGAGGACAGGAAGGGGTCTTTTAGTAAACTTTCTTTCTCCGGTCACTGCCTTGTTAAAGTTTTAGTATGCTTCCTGCTAAATGACATCATGACACGGCTCATTTAGATGATGTAATGGCTACCTTTAGGAAAGAAACAATTACATTTCATTACACACTTTCTTAGCAGCTATCTTTTTCAAATATTATACTGAAAAGTTTAATCTGTAAAGTTTATTTTATCATTTGAATAGGAATTGTTCTTTGTATTCATTTAATTGTTTTATTGGGACAGCGCATATTAGAGGAAAACATATAGATATAAACATGCCAGTTTTTAGCCAAAGGCTAGCTTCCATCCATTGTCCCAAGGGCAGGAGTTACAGGGGGTACTCCATTAGAAAACAGTAAAACTGAAAAACCTTAATATATTCAAAAAGGGTCACTTATATCACTTTTGCAACACAACAAACTTTACAGTTTGACAACAGTCAAATTAAAACACACACACAAAAATCTCACCCTATATTTCACAAGCAAGATTCAACAAGAAAAAATGTCATAGAGGATAATGAAATGTGCAATACTGTTTTCTGTGTGAACTAATGTGTGGATATTTGATTCTGACAGAGCCATTCTTGCTGTTAGGCTTTAAAAGACTATATGCTGGATGTTTTCTGCGTATGTGGAAGACTATTCCGTAGGTTTCCACTGTAAACAGACAGAACTTTTTGGCTGAAGGCCTGAGGGGAATGAAAGAAACCATCTTGTTGATATTGGTGTTATCCTGTTTGTATTATTAATAGTTTTAATAATTTTTTTTTTCAGCAGTGGAGGAACCAGGGATTTGAACAGATTGTAATTTGTTTTTAAAAATAAGATAGCTTTTAAAAATCTGATTTATCATTGTAATACTCAACTGGAGGAAAGTGATGCCCTAATAAACTTGTTGTTCCCTAAATTTCACTCATTAGAGTTTGATTTTCTTGAAATTTGACTTCAATTTATATAAAATGAATAAACACAATTTAACAAAATATTTCTAGGTTGTTTTAGGTGTTAGCTGAAGCTGCAAGAGTTCAGAGATTTGTATTCTTGACAGTGTATAATTGTCCTTTTGTCTGTATTGTTTTAGACTGAGGTGATGAAAGAGGCTCTACAGAATCTACATTTAAATGTTGTGGAAATGACTGATGAGAATGCAACACTGGATGGAGGTGATGTTCTATTTACAGGTAGGTTTCCCTGCAATCTGACCAATCATTTTAAGACTGTACATGGATTTTGATACAATGATCTAAAGATGGACTGTCTACACATGGCTTCTCACATGGTTACCCGAAATCAAAAAAGCAGTTAAAGGTATTCTTCTGTGTTTAACTCTTGCTATAGTGTAATCAAATAATGCTTTATTACAATTATTTGAAAAAAAATTACCTGCAATGAAATACTAAAATGATACATCTGTCAATGAGGTGTAACGAGGGCCGATTAGCTTCTCACATCCACCTCCCAAATGAAATTAATAAGGTCAGGAAAAACATGTTTGAAATTCAGTCAGCCCTTGTGAGGTGATTGTGAGCAAATCCTGTTGTTGAAGCAGAGTTACAAGCCGATTTATCGGAACCTTGTGCAAGCAAGGGAGCTCTTCTTCCTTCAGATTGATCAGTACGACCAGCATCATCTCTTGGCGCTGAGTCCAACATGTGGCTTTTGGATGTACAGTGTGAGCAGGTAGATTGCATCAGAGCATTGGGCCGTACAGTTTAAGAACATACATCGTGAGCAGCGACTTTTAAACCCTGTGGTTGCATCCTACAGTTTGAGCTGTAGCTGAGTACAACATGGGAAATATCATACAGTGTATGCCCGGCTTTAGCTCAACTTAGAACCCATATATTGGGTGAATTTCGTAAAGGTTTCTGTTACATGGAGAATTTATTTTGAAGTTTTCATGACTTTTTAAAAATGTTTTTGTTAGTTTATGTCCAAGATAAACAGTGTTGTGCACTTAAATGCATTCATGTTATCTAATCTTTAATGAAATAAATTAATGTGTCAGAATTGCAGCCCTTTCAAAACATGTTTAAATGGCTTTGTGTTAAGACAACAGATGAAAGTTTGAATTAATTGGTCATAGTTCAGTATGAATGTCATGTTTGTAAACGTTTATCTTGAAATGTGGTTAAAAAAGCTTTTAAATTCATTCGGAACAAAAGAAATATGTTCGATTCACTTTACAATATAAATCAAAGAGGCAGGTGAAACACTTTTTTTTTAATGGAGGACCCCCATGGAGTCCCACAATGTCCTAGGAGGCCCCTCTCTTGGGAATGTCCTGAACAGGAAACCGCTTAAGGCTGGTTTATGCTCAGAAACCAGGTAGTTTGTCTGTGTGTCTCAGTTAACCCAGATATGCCTCTGCCCCTTCTACAGACACGAAATTGTAGTTGACTGCTGACAGTGCCACAGACAGAAGGCATCTGATTGGTCAAATCTACATCCGCTCTACACTATGCGTATTTCCTTTTTGGTACCTTTGGTACCGGCTTGCTTTGTTTGTATGAACGCCATTGTGGAAAAGGACTTGTAAAGATGGACCAGCTAGAAGAGCGAGGAGCACAAGAACGCTGGGACCCTTTTTCCACCTGGATATCCCCCCTTTTTCACTCTCATGTCCTTCCGTTGTCGCATAAATTTTAACCTTGTGTATTTCCACTTCCTCACTGTTTCGGCTGTATCTAGGCCCAGAGCTAGTTTGTGATTCTCCCTCTTGTGTTGTGGCATAGAATAACATAGTGCACACCCCGCTTCAAAATTGCGCATAAATCAAAAATATATTGGTCACACCCCCGACAAGCTCACCACAACACACTGCTGTGGGTGTATAACCAGCCCTTAAGTCTGAAACACATGGTTTTCCTTGTCCAATGTTCTTGTACAATCAATGTTCTTATTCCATTCAGTCACAAAACAGGTGTAAATTCGAAAGCAAGTGGACTTTCATATAAGTATGTTGCAACAAAAACCAAAAAATTGTTGAGATAAGTGAAATGGAGATGATATTTTAAACCGTATTACAGCAGACAAATCAGTGCATGTGTGTGTCATGCTTTTATCACAAGACAAAAGCTAAGGATGAACAGAGGGGGGGATTCTGGATTCAGTTCCCAGGCATTTACTGTCTTAAAATTCATTTCAAGAAATTATATAAGCAGTTTCATCCAAGTACACCACTCACACCATACAAGAGACTCCAACAAGCCATGGAGAATATTGGGTTGATCATTCATCCAACTTTGAATGTGCCAAGGAGGCTGGGCCTCTATATACTCAAAACAACAGCGTTCCAGCTACAGATGGCTCCATTGCAATCCACAACAATTATCAGAAAGAAGTCTGGATAAGTGACCAAACCTTTTCAGAAAAATTGAGTGAAAGCCTGGTTGCCTTTTTGTGTCTCTCAGAGGTTACACAGGCAACTTATGTGGGACCTCTATGACCTGGTGCCCCTATACGCCCACCAGATATTGACCTGTTTTTACAGTTGTGTAGAACCCTTCAAATATCAAACATTATTAAAGCTGTTGAGTATGTTTGGCAGCAGCTAAAAATGCTAATGAACCTAGTGAAACACAGTAGTCTATCTTACACTCTGAACATTGTGTTACACTTGCATGGAGATTCAAAATGTAGGTCAGTGCCGTCTTGAGTATGCGCCAGATGGAAAAATATAGTACACCTAATTGAATTTCTAGACATAGGCTGTGTTGTGTCTTTCTTTTCAGCTGAAATCGGTTTCACATGGCAGGGTAAGAAATATTTCCTGTTGGCGATACCCAGACTAATGGCTTATATTGTAGCAGCTCAACATCAACATAGGAACCCATCCCTGAGGTCAATGTACAGCTGCATCCCTGTCAGCTGACATATTTATATATACATATGTGTGTGTGTGTGTGTGCCAGCATGCCTACCCTGTTGTGTGAAATGCATATAGAATAGTAGTATTAAAACTGTTTGATTTGTTGATTTGATTTCTTCCGATTTTACTAATGTACATTTTTATGTTTTCCATCTAGGTCGAGAATTCTTTGTTGGTCTTTCTAAACGAACCAATCAAAGAGGAGCTGAGATCCTAGCTGATGCATTTAAGGTACGTTACAGTAATGCCATCCATTAATTCATAATTAATATCTCTTATTCATTTGTAGAGTCAGCTGTGAATCACAAGGCCAGTATGAGGAATAAAAAGTCCAAGGCAACAGAGGCAAAAAAATCCAAAAATCCAAAATGCTGAGAATCAAAAATCCAATAAGTGTCAGGGAGCAACAACACATGGGGAGCAAGCAATGAAGCAACATATCAACAAGAAACCAGCAATGAGGAACTGCAGAGGTAGTGTATATGTGGAGAACAGAACAAAGGATTGGCTAATGAGCTGATATGGAGCAGGTGTGAATAGAACTAACCAGAAGGGAGCTAAGGGGAAAGGAAACAGGCACAAGGGGGCAACAGAGAGTAACTCAGGAAATACAAAACTGACACAAAACAACTACAAAGTCACAGACTACATTCACACAGTAGCCTTAAGTGACCCGAATCTGATTTTTTGTTGCCCATATGTGACCTGTATCTGATTATTCATGGCTGTCTAAACAACACAGATCAGATTTTTGCCAGTGCGACCCAGGCCACTTGGCTATGTGGTCCTGAATCTTATATGAATCAGATTTTTTTAAATGTGACGTGTGATTGAACAGCCAGGTCACACTTATCCGACCTGAAAGTCATTAATACCCAACAAAGGTCTCTATTCTGGGTATTGAAAGGCAGAAGCGGCAATAAAAACAACAACCATGGCGGATGATAATGTGGAGAGTAGCATTTATGTTTAACCATCTTGAAAAGATGGTTGGGAAAGATCGCTAGATGAGCTCCAGCAAAACCATCCATGTTTACTTCCGTAAACACAGAACATGCTTGCTTGTGATGTCATTGCGTCCTCTACTGCGCATGCAGGACACTTACGTTGTATGAATGCAGTTTACACAGGAGATCACATACAAGTCGCATATATTTGAAAATGTAAATGGTAACCCAAAAAAAAAATGGATTTCACAACAAAATCGGAATTGGCCTACAGTGTGAACATAGCCAAAGAAACTAAAAATAAGCTTAAAAAGAGGGCTTAACCCTGACAGTTTTTTCTTATACTCTTACAGTGGGGAGAATTGCTCTCTGTGTTAACCCCACCTTAGGGAGTAGTTTTCTACCACACTGAGAGGTGCTCAGAGAAAACTCTGAACCAGCAATTCGGCTCTCCAGCATACAGAAGCCCTGCTCGGTTAATGATACAATAAGTCATCACTCGACTTTTTGACTTTGGTGCATGGCACATTAGAAAACACATTGTAACACGTTTAAGAGCTGTATGTAGCTCATTCTGTGTAGCTCTGTGCAGCTTATGACAGACAGATACTAATAGTCACCAAAAATTAGGTGGAAAACACCTTTGGAAAACAAAAACAACAGACAAAAACAACCTTTTTTACACCATGGATCGGTTAAATTTCAGACATTGTTTTCACGGACCGGCCTTTAAAGTGTTGGGGGATAAATACGATCAAATAAAATGATACGACTGGCAAATACAAACAACATAAAATATAAACTCACCATTATGTTGAATTAGTGGGAGCCCTGAGCTTGCTTCGGAGAAACAAGCCAGTCCCATCTAGGTGTAATCATAGACAATGACACGAAGTGTGCTCCCAATGTCCAGTCTGCTCCATAGCTTTGTTTTGGTCGCTGTAACTGCAGAAAATCCAACTTCACAAAGATAGGATGTTATGCGTCTTGACCTGAATTAACCTGTGTCAAGAGGCACAGATGCACCGACTGATCTACTTGGGAGAGAATACCCCAATTTTGTATATTTCTCAAAATAAAACATTACTCAGACTCTGATCGTTGATAAATTATATATATATATATATATATATATATATACACTATATTGCCAAAAGTATTTGCT